TGAAGCAACTGATTCATGATTGAACAGTATAAACAGATAATATCAATGAACTGATTATTGAACAAATGAACTGATTGGTAACAATAGTCATGAACTGATTAGTGACAATAGAACCGAATCACAGACACAACTTGTGGCTGATAACAACATCTCACACTGTAATGCATGCAGACAGATGTGAGCTTAAACAGAGTTCCATGAGAACAACAATATTCATTCTGTTAGAGCACTAAGGACAGAATGTGTCATGGAACGAGCCGTTACATCACGTAGGTAAAAGCGAATAAATGAGCAGGGTGATGACCATGCAGCCGCAGTGCAAATGTCCTGCATTGACATACCATTATGCAGAGCAGTCGAAGATGCGATACCCCTGGTTGAGTGTGCTTTGAGGTTGACAGGAGGCTCTAGATCTGATGCTCTGTAGGCTTCAGAAATGGCCTCACACAGCCAGTGTGACAGGCGCTGGGTGGATAACGGGCGGCCTGCGGATGCATCTCTATAATGCACAAACAAATGTTGAGTTTGACGCATTGCAGCTGTGCGCGCTATGTAACACGATAACGCCCGCACCGGACAGAGAAGATGAAAAGATGCTTCTTCTTCTGATCTGTGGGGGGGAGGGAAGAATCCCACCAACGACATCTGTCTCGATTTAAAAGAGCTCGTGATGCTTTTAGGCATAAAGGCTGGGTTTGGTCTTAAATCAGCTGAACTACCGTCAGCCTGGATTCTGAGACATGACGGAGCGGCAGAGAGGGCAGATAAATCACTCACCCTCTTAGCGGATGTTAAAGCCAGTAGCAGGGCTGTTTTAAGAGACAGGAATTTAAGTGAAACTTGATCCAGAGGCTCAAAAGGAGCTTTGATCAGGGCTCGCAGGACCAGCGTTAAATCCCACTGTGGAACGAGTGGGCGTGAAACCGGTCTATGTCTTTGTACACCTTTTAAAAACCGCTTCATCAGCGGGTGGTTAAAAGCTGTTCTGTCCCCGAACCCTTCGTGGCAGGAAGAGATGGCTGCAGCGTACGTTTTAATCGTGCTGAACGCCAACTTCCTATCCATCAGCTGTTGAAGAAAGGACAGCACGCCACCTAATGGACATGAGGTGGCCTCCAGACCTTTCTCTGTACACCAGCGCTGAAAAGCCGTCCACTTTGATGTGTACAGGGCTGTGGTAGATGCAGCACGTGAATCTTGAATTGTGCGCACTACCTCCTGAGGGAGACCCATCCTCTCTAAGCGGGACCGCTCAGCGGCCAGACCCACAGGTGCTGGCCTATTTCCGGGTAACTCCTGATCGCTCCTCCTGCTTGAAGGAGAGCATCTTCCCTCCATGGCAGTTTCCACGGGCGACCTGACAACAGACGCTGCAGGACCGGGAACCATGGTGCGTTCACGCGCTCGGGAGCTACCAGGAGAGCTGTCAGTCCCTCCTCCTGAACTCGGTTCAGGAACCGTAAAATCAGAGGAGGAGGAGGGAACGCGTACAGAAGCGTTTTGGGCCACGGGCTGTGGGCAAATGCATCCACCCCCAGCGGTGGATCGTCTCGAGGGCTCAGGGAAAACCATAACTGGCACTGAGCGTTCTCTCGCGTCGCAAACAGGTCCACAGCTGCTTTGCCAAACTTCTGCCACGTCTGAAACATCAGGTCTGGATGGAGGGTCCAGTCCGCGTGACGTGGACCGCCCCTGGACATCACGTCTGCTCCTCTGTTCAGAACGCCGGGTATGTAAACCGCTCTGATGGAAAGCAGATTTTGGTGAGCCCAACACAGTAGCTTCCGCGCAATGTGTAACATCTGGGCTGAACGCACACCCCCCTGGCGGTTTATGTACGCAGCAGTCACCATGTTGTCTGTGTGAATCAACACGTGTTGATTCTGTAGCACGGGAGCAAAATGCTGAATCACATTCAGCACTGTGCGACACTCCAAAACATTGATGTGGGCTGATGTGCGGTGGGGCCACAGCGCCCCTACTGCTTGAGATAGGCATGTCCCCCCCCAACCTGACAGAGACGCGTCCGTGAAGACTGATACGTGTGTCGAGGGTTTGCTGACGGGGACTCCCTCTGACAGAGCCAGGGTGTTTCCCCAGTGTCGGAGGTCTGCTCTCACGGAGGGAGGGACAGTGATCATCCGTCTCTTTTGTTTTACTGGATCCACACGCAGGCGCGTAAACCACCTCTGGAGGCGCCTCATGTGTAACAAACCCAGCGGGACCACTGTGTGAGCTGATGACATCATTCCCAACAGCTTCATGACGGAGACAGCTGTTACCACTTTGCCAGGTCTTACGTGGCGTAATTGGTTTTTT